CTCCCCGKTGCTCCCAYCAKWSAYRGAATGAATGAATGKAWGCAAGCAAGCAYSCAAGCAAGCCWKCCWAGCKTCCCTCCCGTCWCCTCSCSTRRCCWMCSCAAACTGAGCAATGCGGCCARGRGGAGCRGCTTTTAAAGGGCAGRCCYCCCAATCASAATGAGKCACGGTGCTTGGGAGCGCCGGATTGGCTCCCGGCGCACCCAGCATCCTCCATCCTTAAACGTCATTTCCGAAACGGGCGGAAGCTCGTAAAAAAGATGGKGGATGCCYTTTRGGTATTGAAAAACACTTCCGGGTTTGAAAATATATTTCAATATCATTTTGTAAATGAAAAAAATAACGAATAATTAACGATATACAAAATTAACGAACGAAARCGCCCAGCCCTAGTAAACAGCATGATCCTCACTCTTGCATTAGGCCCATCACTCTTAGCTTAATCGATCTCCCAGGGCTGTTGTGTATACCACCTTGAGCAAAACTGGAAGACAATCGGATGTGAATGAAACAAATGTCAAAAGGGGCTAAATAAAACTGAAGATGCCAACTCATATATCTGTTGCTCTGTGCAATCTCTTATATACTCAAACATTTATGTAGGCCTATATATTCTTACAGCCAATTCTGGAGGAACCTGTAAGGACCTAAATCATGCAATGTATGCAAATATCTCCATGCTCCACAAGATATTCCAAAGTCGAATTAATCATAGTTTGTTGCCACTAGTTTTGATGCTAGAACTGAACTCAAAGTAGTTATTAGAGGAGAACTAATAGGCATATACAATCCTACAATATGTCACAGTAACTTGATCTATTTTAAAAGTCTAAACTTCAATTTAAAACTTGATTCTTTATATTTCTAACAGCAGTAAATGAACATAGTGCTAGCTAGCCAGTAAGCAGCTGGACTTCTGGGGAAGTCAAATATGTATACTATCTAAAGCAGCACTTCTCAACCTGTGGATCGGGACCCCTGGGGGGGGGTCATGAGGAAAGATCGTAAAGACCATCAGAAAACATTTCTGATGGTCTTAGGAACCCCTTTGGCAGATAAGGCTGAAGATATTTCTGCATGTCCTTCTCTTCCTTTTTGAAAACCGATGGCAAATTCTCCCAGTGAAAGCCCTCCTCCACTGTTATTGGCTGGCCTCTCAGCCAAGGGAAGAACAGGCGGGTTCAGCACAAGGCAGCGTGGTGCACATATTTGAGCGAGGGAGAGCATGCTAGACTGGAAGAAGACTCACGCTAGTGAGTTCCTTCAAGACATAGGGGTTCTGTGTGGGAAGTTTGGTCCAATTCTATCATTGGTGGTGCTCAGAATGCTCTTTGATTGTAGATGAACTATAAATCTCAGCAACTACAACCCCAAAGGTCAAGGTCTATTTTCCCCAAACTCCACCAGTGTTCACATTTAGGCATATTGAGTATTAGTGCCAAGTTTGGTCCAGATCTATTATTGTTTGAGTCCACAGTGCTCTTTGGGTGTAGGTGAACTACAGCTCCAAAACTCAAGGTCAATCCCAACCAAACCCTTACAGCATTTTCTGTTGGTTGTGAGAGTTCTGTGTACCAAGTTTAGTTCAATTCCGTTGTTAGTGGAGTTCAGAATGCTCTTTGATTGGAGGTGAACTATAAATCCCAGCAACTACAACTCCCAAATGACAAAATCAATTCCCCCCACCACCCCGCACAACCCCACCAGTATTCAAATTTGAGTGTATTGGGTATTTGTGCCAAATTTGGTGCAGTGAATGAAAATACATCCTGCATATCAGATATTTACATGACAGTTCATAACAATAGCAAAATTACAGTTATGAAGTAGCAACAAAACTAATTTTATGATTGGGGGTCACCACAACATGAGAAACTGTATTAAGGGGTCATGGCATTAGGAAGATTGAGAAACACTGATCTAGAGCTCTGCAAGACGAAACATGAGGACTTTAAATGGCAAAAAGAATCAGTAGGAAAGGAGGCAAGCACACTTTCTTTCACACTGTTTCTCCATTCAGAATTACAGCCTTCCCAATACACTTAATGTTTTAAAAAACTGGACTCTGTTGCATACATTTGTGAGTAATAAGTGTATAATGCTGGCCTTCGGTCACCTTTCTTCACAGCAATATCATTATTTCTCATGACATCCAATTCGGAATCTAGCAACAAAGTGACTGATACACTCCTGCAGTTGCATGGAATAAATCCAAGCCTTTGATAATTGAAACTTAAAATATTATGGCTGGAGTGCAGCATGTGACTTATTTTTATGGAAGTAGACTTAGGTCTGTGGGAAGTTGAATTGAGCAGTTTTGTAATGTAGGTATTCAGCAAGGAGGCTGCTGTGATGTTACTATATAGGGGAGCCAGTGAAGTGATTGTTGTGCATTGGCCAGAACATCCAATGCACATCTGGACAACGTTTAGAGCATGCCAATGTGAATTGCTACAGCCAATTCAATTGGGACAAAAGCTACAGACTACTGATGCACATTGGCAGACCCTGATGCCCCTTGGGACACACTTTCTGGTTCTGTGATAAATGTCTTTCCAATTCACTAGGAGGCTTCCATAATGTCTCTGCTAAGTAACTAAATATGAGTAAAGTTGCACAATGTAGAGTGTGATATAGGATTGCAGCCTATATCATTACCTTTTGCCGGGGGAAAAAAGTAATTATTATACCATCCTTAACTACTAAAAGGGGTAATGTTTGGACTCCATGATTTGGACTTCAGAAATTAAATCTACTGAAGGACTTATTTATTTGTTTAGTTATCACATTTGTATACCACCTTTCTCAGCCCGGAGGCAATTCTGGTGGCTCACAGTTGGCAATAATTCGATGCCTCAACAATTATAAAATACAATTAAAAAAATTATAAAATACAATTAAAACATTTGGCATTTAATATAATATATTTAGCATATAATTTATTTATTTACAATATATATAACCTGCCTTTCTTTCCCCAAGAGGGACTCAGGGCAACTTACGGATAGGCAACAATTCAATGCCTTAGCAACAATGTACAGTTAAAACAAACATTTAAATTAAATTAAGATCAAAACTGAGTTACATTAAAACATTTTTAAAATGTAACAGTCACTATAAGGATTAAACACATTGTTCAAGTTCAGCTTTTGTGTGATGGTATTTTCTTTATTTTTTTTTTAGGTTGTTCTGGTGAGTGGACATCTGGACAGCTGGGATGTGGGCCAAGGAGCCATGGATGATGGCGGTGGAGCATTTATATCCTGGGAAGCATTGTCGCTGATTAAGGATCTGGGTAAATATTTACCTTCAAATGATATAACTAACAAGGAATGATACTGCTTCTTTTAAAATGGGTTTTGGAAAGTAATAAGTAGCATGATTATTTTGCCCAATCCCTGGCCAATTGCAATGAAATTATTTCTCTGAATCTTCTTCTAATGTAGCTCTTTCTGTAGAAACATTGTAGTGCTGTTTGTACCACTCTCTTGGGGTGTCTAGTGCTACCTTTTAAAATGAATATTGCAAGTACAATTGCAAACTTTGTAAAGATTTGCATTTTTAAAAAAGATAACAAGAACAGGAACAAAGACTAATTTTTAACAGTATATCATAAGCTATGCATGAAGTTTCTTAAGTTTGTTTTAGGAAACACAGCCACATGTTTCCTTCTTTGACCAAATAGAGGTTATATCTGGGTTTATTTTCCTTTGTTGCTTTCTGTAGTAGTCAGTCAATTTTTCCCAATATAACACAATATCCCTCCAGTTCTTGTTGAAAGAAACTTCCAACTTGGCCAATTGTTGGCTCTTTTGGCTAGGGCTGCTGGTTATTGGAATATAAGAACATTGGGAAGGCTGCACAATTCCCACCCCTGTGAAGTTGAGTAGTCCATCTATTGTCCCTTGGCCTTAAAATGAAATAGGTTGACTCACTGTTTTCCAGATAACTCACAATTGTGTTGTTTGGCTGGGAGTGATTTACTGTTGTCTCACTTATTAGTGGGCAGTGGCTTCCATGTCAGCAAAACAATGAATCTATTGGAGTCCCCAGTGGCACAATAGGTTAAACCCTTCTGCCGGCAGGATTGCTGACCAATAGGTCAGTGGTCTGAATCTGGGGAGAGCAAGTAGAGCTCCCTCTGTTAGCTCCAGCTCCCCATGCGAGGACATGAGAGAAGCCTTCCACAAGGATGGTAAAAAAAAAAACCAAGCAACTAAACGTCCTCTGGGCAATATCCTTGCAGACAGCCAATTTTCTCACACCACATATGACTTGCAGTTTCTCAAGTCACTCCTGACATGAAAAAAAGTGAATCTATTCCATGTATTAGATCAGACTTTAAAAGAACAGTCCAAGATGACAAACCTATTTGGGGCATAGAATACAGCACCTTGGACAGTTCAGACTGAAATAGGGTAGATTCATAACTCTGCGGAAATACAGGCAGCAGTCAGAACTGGTAACAGTTAAAGGTGGCAGGTTCTGGTTGTCAGAAGAGTAACTGTGTGCTCCCCCTTCTCCAGCAAGATTCAAAAGACATTGAGTGAACAATTGAAATTCAATGGTTTGAAAACAAAATCACTTGGGTCCAAACCCAGTTTCAGCTGCCTGGAGAGTGCTACTTCCTGTTATTAGCATGAGCCTATAGCTGACAGACTACTTTAGCAGATGCACAAAAGTGCTTTGAAAAGAAGATATCTGTATCTTCAGCCAAGGTGCTTTGAGGTCTCTGTAGCATAAATGACTCAATGTTAAGAATGAACATTAATGGGGATTCATAATTAATCCTGATTACTGGAGTCAGAATACAATGCCTAATCTGAATATGTGCTGGAGCATTAAATATGAAGACTAATCAATTGATGGAATGCCATATTTGAATTCAATGAACATTAAAGCAGGATATAATTTATTTCCATAACAAATGAAACATTCAAGAAATGCAGTCAAATTTGTCAACATTTCCAGGCTCAAATGATTTCCTACTATTCTTGTAGCTATTCAGTTGTGTTCAACCCTAGGGGCATAGATATGTTACTTTTTGTACTGCAGATTCCAGACTTTCTCAGTGCTGTCTTGAGAGCTCTGGAAACAGTCATCACCTGAAATAACTTTTCCAGGCTCGTGTCCAAGAAAATTGCACTGCTCCTACACTATTTTTTCACTAGTACTAGTACTGTACTAGAAATAATCTGCTAGAGCAGATGAAGTGTGGGTGTGTTTATTTTTTAAAGCATTCTGCTTCACAATACCTGTAGGTTTAACAGCTTTAAATTCATAAAATCTGGTTCTGTATTGCTCATCATATTTTTAGTATGCCTTTTATTCGGCATGCATCCATTAATATGTCCAAAAGTAAGTGAAGAATAGAAACAATATAACCACAGGGTACCTATGGCTCTTGGGGGATTTAGTCCAGCCTTTAGAATACCAATAATGTTCTCAAACTCACTGTAGTAATAATAATAATAATAATAATAATAATAATAATAATAATAATAATAATAACAACAACAATAATAATTTATTTATATTCTGATCTGTCTCCCCGGAGGGATTCAGGGCGAATTCCAAACATAAAAGGCAAACATTCAATACCCGAATACAACACCAATACATCCATACTAATAAAATGTAAACAACTCGTGTCCAAGAAAATTGCATTGAGTCGCCTAACAAGGCTGAGAAACGCGGTATAGAAATGAAGCAAATAAAATAAATAAACTCAACATATAAACATGAATTATGGCTTAACAACTAAAATTAAATTTAAAAAAACATAGCCTGTTATAACAGACATAAGAAAAAAATCAAGCATTGAATGGAAACAATAATTTCCCAGTTCCTTGGTGCAAATCGATTAATCATTGCTCAAGATATCTATTGAGCTGGTGTGGCAAGTAGGGCATGGATACGGATGGCAACTATTAATCACAGGTATAATAGTAGTATTACCAACTACTATTCTTCCTCCTCGTAAGCCAGTGAGCAAAGGTATGTCTTCAGCTGTTTTTTGAAAGCAGGGAGGGATGGGGCCATCTTTAACTCCTTAGGAAGGGAGTTCCAGAGGTGGAGGCAGCCACGGATATCATTGCTGGTTTATTTATTTATTTATTTACTGCATTTGTTGACCGCCGTTCTCAGCCCTAGGGCGACTCACGGCGGTGTACAACACATAAAAACAGTTTATCATAGGCAATATCACAACAAAATCAATATAACTAACATAACTATCAATAATACAATTACACTAAATCATCCGCGCCGTCTCATCGTAGAATCATAAACCAAACTCGTTATCCATATTCCGTTCCGATCGTCATTGCCAATTGTTGTAGCACTTAGTCAAACGCCTTCTCAAATAACCATGTCTTTAGGCTCTTACGGAATGCCATCAGGGAGGGCGCCTGTCTGATATCTACAGGGAGGGCGTTCCACAGCCGGGGGGCCACCACCGAGAAGGCCCTATCTCTCGTCCCCGCCAGACGTGCCTGTGAGGCAGGCAGGATCGAGAGAAGGGCCTCCCCAGACGATCTCAAGGTCCTCGTGGGCTCATAGGCCGAGATGCGGAAGAAAGGTATTTTGGGCCGGAACCATTTAGGGCTTTGTAGGCCAGCACCAGCACCTTGAATTGGGCCCGGTAGCAGATCGGCAGCCAGTGGAGCTGGAACAGCAAGGGCATTGTATGCTCCCTGCGTCCCGCTCCTGTTAGTAACATGGCTGCCGCGCGCTGGACTAGCTGAAGCTTCCGGGCCGTCTTCAAGGGCAGCCCCACGTAGGGAGCGTTGCAGTAGTCAAGGCGGGATGTGACCAGAGCGTGTACCACCGTGGCCAAGTCAGACTTCCCGAGGTACGGGCGCAGCTGGCGCACGAGCCTGAGCTGTGCAAATGCTCCCCTGGTCACCGCTGAAACCTGGGGATCCAGGCTCAACGATGAATCCAGGATCACACCCAAGCTGCGAACCTGCGCCTTCAAGGGGAGTCCGACCCCATCCAGCACAGGCTGTAACCCTATACCCCGTTCGGCCTTACGACTGACCAGGAGGACCTCTGTCTTGTCTGGATTTAATTTCAATTTGTTCGCCCTCATCCAGACCATTACAGCGGCCAAGCACCGGTTCAGGACCTGGACAGCCTCCTTAGTAGCAGGTGGGAAGGAGTGACAGAGTTGGACATCGTCTGCGTACAGATGACACCGCACCCCGAAACTCCGGATGATCTCACCCAGCGGCTTCATGATATTAAACAGCATGGGGGACAGTATAGAGCCCTGTGGAACCCCACAAGTCAAAGGCAGTGGCGTTGAACAGGTGTCCCCCAATAACACCTTCTGGGTGCGGCCCTCCAGAAATGACCGGAGCCACTGCAGAACAGTGCCCCCGAGGCCCATTCCCGCAAGGCGCCCCAGAAGGATACCGTGGTCGACGGAATCGAAGGCCGCTGAGAGGTCCAGGAGCACCAACAGGGACACACTCCCCCTGTCTAGCTCCCGGCGCAGATCATCCACTAAGGCGACCAAGACCGTCTCAGTTCCATGTCCCGGTCTGAAACCAGACTGTGCCGAATCCAGATAATCCGTGTCTCTCAAGAATACCTGGAGTTGTGAGGCCACCACGCTTTCCATGACTTTGCCCAAAAAGGGGAGATTGGAAACAGGTCGAAAGTTGTCAAATTTAGTGGGATCCAATGATGGTTTCTTCAACAGCGGTTTTATAATAGCTTGTTTTAAGCTCGCTGGAATCTCGCCTTCCCGAAGGGAAGCGTTAACCACCACCGTTACCCACTATAAGTGTGCGGGGAGGGTTTATAAAGACTTAAAATAGTGTATAACTACTAAAATAATCTATAAATATTAAAATAAATATAGTGTCCCTACTTTGTGGATTTTCACTTTTCGCGGGTGGTCCCGGAACGTAACACCCGCGATAAGTGAGGGAATACTGTAAATCCACTGAAAATACTTCTCCGGAATCCAGATATAGAAAGTGGCTTGACACATCTTACCAAACAGAAGTTCTCCTTGTGAATCCGCCTTTAACTCAATGTATTTGCAAGAGGCAGTTAAACGATATGTCTTTATGTCTAATGATGTCACACCTTCGGCTAATTGAGCAGATTGCTAATGTGTGCATTTGTGCAAAGAAAGAGAGAGAGATGGTGGAGTTCAGAAACTTGGCAAGAATCTATATCTATAAGTCTGTAAGGGGCGTCCAACGGGACAGCAAAACTCAAAAACTCCCCAACGAAAATTAACCAAAATTCCCATGCACATACCTCAACCCACAAG